AACAGTTTTATTCCCACGGGCTTTCTAACCGCTGTGATTGGATCATATTCCACGAATTGCGCAACCTTCAACCCAACATGAGACTGTCTGATTACCGGCATGTCATGTTTGTGATGCTTTTGATATCACCTGTAATCCAGCCGTGATGATGACCCTCTTGCTGCACACAGTGGAATTTAAGTAGGCAATCTAAAGGCTCAAAGTTCTTGACAAGGTGTGGGTTCTCGCTCAGGTTAGGTGGGTATGGCTTATCGCAGTTCACTCATCCGATCGACCGATGAATGATCCCGACCGACCGTGTGATTGTTCCACCTCCAAGCGATGGCAGAGAACATGCTGTGGATAATCAGATTGAAATACATTTAAACTGCCGTTTTTGATGGCATTATGCCAACTCTTGACCGGCCCCTCTGTTGAAAGTATACACAACCATTCTCACACAACAACACTCATCCCTCAGAACTGGGTCACGCGACCGCCGTGACACAACTGCAAACTTCGGAAGCACAGATTTGAGAATGCGATGGGTTACACACACACACACACACACACACACACGCACACGAACACGCACAAACACGGACACGCATACACATTTTATTGTTCTCCTCCCAACNTGGTTTATTGAAAGTATATTGAATAATCTCATAATCCAATTCAGCAAACGTAGGTCAAAAGCTTTGAATATTACGGACCATGGAGTATTAGGCCGAGACTTTCCCTTTTCTTCCTCTCTTACTGAAGTCACCTCTCCCTCAAGTGTCTTTGTCTTGACCCGTACGTATGATCAATCATCAGCCGTGCACTTTCGTCTGTTCCATTTCGCCCACCACNCTCTTTCTCGTGACCGTTGTCCTTGACCTTTATATGGTCTGACTCACCCTGCTCTATTACCATCGTATGGAGTTGCCTATGTGCGCTTTGACGTTATTTCACTTATCACCTCTTTGTTTGACGGAGCGGTGAACTCGCTCGTTTGCATCTTGGTTCTCGATTGACGTTGTTTATTTCGCCGGTTCAGGCATACCCCCCGGGAACGCCACGATTTGAGGTGTGTTGTTTAAGTAATTGTAACCCTTAGTAGTTACAGTACCGCATACTTATTCGCTATTGTTGGAGCCGAATAAACCTCTAGAACACTTGGACTGGGATTCTGAGGTTGCGTGTCACTCAACGTTGGCCTGGATAGTTATTTGGATTTAACAGTAGGTGTCCAACGGAATGGTGACCACTCCGCTAATAAAGTTATTGCGAAAACAAACGGAACATGAATACAAGTCCCATGGTGCTTTAGCTGTCAGGCACTTGTCCAAGCGTACGCTTTCATCCCATTCATTGCCTTATCATTGTCAACCTTCAGCTTCACTCCAAAAGATATCGTCAAACTCCTTCAGCATCCCACAAACATTCCCAATGATCCGATGAAATTTGCTTATAAGCCTAATAGATCCAACTTTGACACGGTTTTCACCCTTATCACCCTAATGATGAGGTCATGATAGGGAGCTTTACTCTATTGTGTCATCGAATGTTCGATGACGCGGAAGGCATATGTCTAAACCTAGCGGCCGAGTGAGGATCAGCATACAAGTGTGCCAAGTAAGTGATCAGCCTTGTTTGTTTCAATAGCCTGAAATGTATCCCGTGGTCTCAGCGTACTAATTACGCTGTCTATGCGATGAATAACGTAATTATCATTTTTTCTGAAAATTGGCACAACTACCGATCAATCCACATGAAGCTGGTTACAATTTATGGAAATTTTATCATTTATGAATTGACTGATATATAGAACAGAATGGTTTTTGTTATTTTTGACGACGACCTAGCCGAAAAATTCAATTTTATGAGACTCTTCTTTTTCTAAATTGAACTTATAATGGTAGGACCCGGACACATGCAAATTGATTGTGACAAGCTGCTTCTCAAGTGGTTCAAGTAGCGATCGGGCGCTCAAGTCTCTTTTCCATACTGGCTACGCAATCTTATTTAATCCATATTGTATTTTACTGTTAACCATACCGGGTAGATGGGGGTGTGAAGGTGAGAGCACCACCAAATGAGACGTCGTTACACATATCGGGAACTTTCTTGGTCATCCTGGTGATGATCGAAAAGGTTTCTCTGTTGATGAGATAGATACAAGAAAGGGACGCATGCTGTCTGGGGGAACTGTTAGCTGATGCATACATTAAGGAAATATAGCTGGTGGAGGTAGTGGTGAGATTCAAGCCTGGGAACTCGAGGGGGGGGGGGTGCAAACTGGTGATCTTGGCCGTTTAATCAATTCCTGCACACACACACATCGGAGCACAGAGTTAAACCTGATAACCAGTAACCGTTAATGTTTACTATCTATCCTTTGAGAACAGCTAATTCGGGTTCTCAGATTTTCATAAGTTTTTCATGCTGCCCAATTGTAAACGGGTCAAGATTTGTGATGAAACTATGAGTTAAGCATTGAGCTATATCCAGTAGTGTGTCTGTGAAGTAGACGATGTCCAGCGATCGACTTTGCCTTGTTACAATCAGAATATGAGAACAAATGCATAGAAAAGATGGAGAAACTTATTTAACATGAGAACTGTTGATTGAAGCAATCCAGTGAATACTTATAGAACAT